AGTTAGTATTTTTTCTTAGTTTCTTGTTAAAGGTACGTTCTACGATAATCTGATGGGCGGAGACTCACAACCGCTGTACCTTCTACCTTGAAGCACACCTACTACTTATTGCAGTCGATCCTGGAGCGTACCGATGAGAAAGGCACAATAGTTCTGAGTCTCCGCCCATCAGATTATCGTAGAACGTACCTTTAACAAGAAACTAACAAAAAATACTAACTTAATGTCAACTAGTCAAATCTGCTATTGACAGACACGGCTACGACTTAATCGAAACACGAAAAAAAAACAGAGCTTGCTCTTCTAATCTGTCAAGTGATTGCTGAACGTTACCATTCCTCTTCAACCTCTTCAAGTTGTTCACGAATACGTTGCATTTCATTGAATTGCTTAATTCAGTAATTAAGATAAGAAGACTTTCAGCTCATAGTGGCTTTCTAGAGGCGCTTTGCGATTTGCTGAGAAATCCCTCTCTCACCGCGAGCAGGTAGCCTTCACTGCTATAACAGCGGTTCCACGACTTTTGCGGCGCAAAATCCAGTGACGAGAGCGCCCATGCCGTCGTCCTTCTCATTGGCCCACCCACTTTCATAGCCCCGCCCATCGCTCTACCCAGCCATAATAGTAGACGAAGACCGTCACCAACCTAGCCAGGCATATTGTTATCAGTAAGAAATCAGGTTGTATCAATCAACAACGTAATGGATTGACAACCCCTGTGTCCGGTAATCTCGTCCGCTCACACCCTCTCAACACGTCCCGGTTTTTCTGCTCTTTCTCTCTCTCTCTCTCTCTCTCTCTCTCTCTCTACTATTGAGCTGCTTGGCTTCTTGTGACCAATAATCAGCTTCCCACCTTACCCGCGAATGCCCTTCGTGGGCTCTGCCTTCAAGTGCGATATGGCCTGGCTACAGAGTGAATATGCGACCTGATACGTACCAACCGGCCACGGAGGAGTGGAAAGGTATGGTTGGCCTGAACACACGTTGCGACACCCTAGAGCGGGTGTGGTAACGCCTCTGTGCCAGCTGCGCCTCAAAAAAAGCTTTTGAATCACAGAAGACGTGCAAAACCCACTTTTTCGTATTCTTCGTTCCAATCTGTAGGATTTTCTGAGTAATGATGACTAACCAGTTGATTAATGCGCGCCTAAATAACCAGAAGATGTGTCAAAGAAGGTTTCATCGGCATTGGAGAGGGCGTGACCAAGAAGCCAGTCGTGAGCGCCAGAGTGCCCACTTACTTGTCTGCGCTCTCTCTTATCACACCCCACTTATTACATGGACACGCCCTCTCTAAAGTCCTCATTAACTGAATCAAAGAGGCGCGTCAGTAGAGCGCGGCGCCAGCTCGCTTTCCAAAATTCAACGCCGGGTGAGGCGGGCAATGATTGGTAGAAAATCAGCTGGCAACGCTCCAAGCCCTTAATACGGATTCGGTTCTTGAAGACTATACATACTGAAAATATGCAACTATACACAACAGTACTCACCTCTGCTAGAGCAACGGATTTTTCGTTGCCTGTGATCGTTACCGTCCGTGTGATAGAACCGTTTTCGGGCTCAATCTACGATTACAAGTACAGAATTAATATCCATAAAAAAGAAACCATACGAATTTCACATGGCCACTGGAGCTACGGAAGTCACTCGGCTGCGCGACTGATCTCTTTCCCTGCGGCTTTTATCGAAATAGTTATTCCTTCCTCCCACAGATCAGTCTTATCACAGCGTAGTCAGATGGATGAGCTTTGTGTCTCCGCGTAGTCTCCTCTACCCCCTCCCAACTTCAGCAACCCCAATTTCTATGCAGGAATATCGTAACAAACCTCAATACGAACATTGTGGTTTCGCTTAATCTCTCGCACGTTACTTCCGCCTGCTCCTGAAGATATTCCTTGCTATTGCTTCACTATACTTATCCTTTCTATCCATAACTCTCATTATCCTTTATCTCCTTTCAGTGTTTGTTAAGGAAGGAACTCATTCTTTCCACTATCCGTAGCGCGCCTACCGCGGTTAAGGACAATTCATGGCGATGGGCGATGGGTGGGGGGAAGTGGAGAAGGGGGAGGAACTGATCGTTCAGCCAATGAATCAGCCCGATCCCTCTTTTCATCATCAGCTCAAGTAGACCCCACCTGCTGGTGCAAGAGGCATACTTCGCCCATTTCTTTTCCTACCTTTTTATCTACAGATTGAAAAACATGTCCATACTAAAGTGAAAATCTCCATCCTTGAATTTTTCCATCCACCAACCGGTCAAGTACTTGCGACCTTCCTCCCCTTCCTCTCTCTCCCTCTCTCTCTTCTTTCTTTCTTTCTCTCTTTCTCTCTCTCTCTCTCTCCCGCTTTCTCGGAACAGAATTCTCCAACAATGATCTTACCAGGCTAATTCAATCTTAAAGGCACGGTCCGCGATAAAAAGCCTAGGTGATGTTGCAGAAATGTGGAAGAAAATTCGCCAAGTGAACCGTCTATGAAGAGAAAATGCCAAAGGGAACGTTGGAAACGCATTCGTCAGGCCTCCTCTAGCCTCAAACAACTGTAGAGGTAAAAGACCGAAAAGACCGCGCGCTGGGACGATTCCCGTCGGCTGATTCCCAGTAATGAACCCTATGACTCTACAAGAGACATTGAATGCATCACTCCATGATACTTGCCCGGGAGCATTACTTTTGGCTGGAAGGCCGACTTTGGAGGCGGAGTCTGGAGGCGGAGTCACTGGAAAAAGGGATGTACCACTGAAGCAACTTTGCGCCTTAATTCCTTTACCGTACAACTTTCCGCCGCGAAACTGGCACAGGGTTGTCCACTCCGGACCGCACTACCTTCCCACATAACCTCTTGCATTTTCATAGGTCATCGCGGACCGTTCCTTTAAAAACGTACGCTTGCCACAAATCGCCACAAGGAGAAAAAAAACACTGGTATAAGGAGAAAGTACTCAAAAGATCGAGGTGTAGTTCATAAACGGAGGGGCGGAGGCGATAAAGCGCAGCAGAGCTCTGGCGCTCTTATCAAGCTCGTTTAAGTCGCAAAAGAGGCTCATTCTGTGCGCTGGCCCCCACCCCCCGCGCCATGTGGTCGATGGGTGGGCTCATGCAGTTGTTTAATTGCGGATAAATTGTTCATGATACAACGTACCGATGACATATCCCAGTATGTGTGAAGGAACACGCATAATTTTGGTCGATCGAGGAATTTTAGAGTCAGCTACAAAGCTGTTGATCTCCAATATAGCCAATTTGATCTGGAACGTAACATTGTGAGCAATTCTATCTCGACATTGGACGCGGGATGTTCACGAACTTGTGGTGAGTGCAGTGACGGTGGACAGTAGTTATCAGGCAACCAATAAAGTTCGTGCGGTTTTTTTAACTGTCTACTTTTATGAAGTATATTCAGTAAACTGGATCTAGTGGTAGGGTAACTTTGAATACATGTTAAGACATATGTCAAGGAGTGTCATTCAGTGTATTTGTTAATTTAGATTACGGCGAACAGAAAAGGTGTGGTTTTCCACCAGGGCAATGCAAGACCCCACACTGCAAGAATCACTCAGGAAACAATAGCGTGACTAGGATC